ACAAACTTATCAAAATCTTCGAGCAGTTCACCCACAAGAGTGAGTGCAGGTACAGGCTCCTGCCAATCTTGTAACAGTACTTTGCACTTAGATGGCGCAAAGCACATACCATACTTACAGACACTGATCGCCAACTGATCAAGTGCGATTTGGGCAGCCTTCATGCTATCGCACAGTAAGACGATATCATCTGCATACTCGAGGTCGAAAAGTCTATCTCTATCTATCACGAGAATGGTAGTCAGAAGATACAAGTATACTTTGCATCAAAGCTCAGGCGAAAACGAAAGCTTCGCAGTTAAATCAACCAGCTCAGAAAGCACAACTAAATCACTATCCGGTAAGTTGTACGTTAAATTAAGGAGACATTATGGTTAAAGGTTCAGTATGTAGACAACAGATGAACAATGAATTATCCTTTTTATTGGTAATATGGTGATCAAGGTCAATTTGGAAATAAGCCAATCAGAATGAGTGCCTGTGTAAAATAACGCGTCCTATTTTATTAATCATGATTATAGACTAATTAACTTGAAGACTTACAGGCGAAAGCCAATAAACTGGTAGAAGAAGCAGTGAAGACAGGACACAGAGAAGACGGAGGTGATGTGGATAACCAACCAGTAGCAATCATTAATAATGAGAAGAATTTGAAAGATGTCACTTCCTTCAGTTATCTAGGAGGTATCGTTTCGACTACAGGCAGTTGCCACAGATTTTTTTTTTAATTTTTTTATTTTTGGTAACAGCTTGATTCCACAGTGTATTTTTGGTACAAGTATGGAATTTTCAGCGTGGATATCGGTAGCCCAAATTTCGCAGGCCGACCATAGATATCTGGTGTGCGCCGGTGTGGGCTCGACCCCCGGACCATGTGCATGGTCGTCGAGAGTCCTAACCACTGTGCCACCGACGCACAGATAAAGATGCCAAAACCGAAATCAAATAAAGGTAAGACAAACCTTCATCATTATGAAATCAGTTTGGAAATTGTTATGTACTGGTCGAGTAATTAATAGTCCTGACGCAAGAAGGCGGAAATCAGAAAACCACTAGGTTCACGATGATACTTGTATTATTCAAACACCAGGCAAAATCAATGTCACACAAGTGCATGAGCGAATGTTCAAAAATGAACGAATCAATAGACAGTCTTAACAGGATTGGTTGTAATGTCATGTGACAACAAGGTCAGACATGTTTGTTAGTTAGTGGACGGACAAAAACATATTGTCAATTATAATGGAATATCGATCCATATATACATAGCAAAATATAACAGACTGTCAAGAACAGACACATATATTATGTGGGTACATATCAGAAATCTACTGCCTTCAGCGTAAATAACAAGATTTACATTTTCAACACCAATGAGCTGCAATCTACAAATGTTTGGCATGCTATTCGCTGCCGCCAAATGTAAGATGATGGTACAGGACTGGACTACGCTGACTCCTAGTTTAGAAATAGGGAGTTAAGTGGTAGAGCACATTGACCGCTTCACTTATTTGGGAAGTACCATCAGCCAGTACCAACGGGTTGATCTCTGACGAAATCTCAGCACGGATACAGAGGACTAGTTTCGCAAATGCCAGTTTACGCCGTCTCTGGCGTAGACGTGATACCCGGCTGGCTATCGACCAGAGGGCAGGTGTACCGCTCACCAGTCCGTTGCGTCCTTCTTAATGGCTGTGAGTGAGAGATGGTTATTTAGAGGGGAAGACATGAAAAGATTAGCTATCTCTGATCATAGGTGACTGCGATCTATCTCCCGTGTGAAGTGTTATAATGAGGTGAGCAATATTGAGTTTAAGCGTCGAGTGCTAGGTAACGAGGGGGAATCAATCGACGAGGCTGTGAAATTACGTCGACTGAGATGGTTAGGACATGTGTTACATATGCCTAGTCATCGCCTTCCTCGACGGGCATTGTTAGCTCATATACGGTCAGGCTGGAGAACAGCTAGCGGTGGTCAAACCAAAACATGGCACCAGTCAATGAAATCTACAACAGTTAGTTTAAGCCACGTAGGAAGGTGTAGACATCTTGGTTGGGGTCTTCGGGACGGTAAAAACCAATGTCTGGAAACAATTGGTGATATGGCTCAAAATCGTTCTCAATGGCTATCGCAGATGCATCCACTCCTTGTGACTTATGATTTCCAATGAAACTGTATTGTTCTTTGATATTAATATTCCTTTTGTCTCACACCTCTTTTTACTGTCTCTATTATGCTTTTTTTCTCTTTCTTTGCGTGCTGCATGGAGTGTAGTGGCTTGAACTGCCGCACATCGGTGCAAAGTTCTATCTCGAAAACAGACAGACATGTTAAGTTAGTCAGCACCTCTATACGGGCCAAAAACTTGCACTGCGTGCCTCGAAAAGGATTTCCGACAATTTAAAGACTTTCATTAGCAGATGCCCCCTTTTCTGGTTCCATATTGAAGATCAAATGGCCAACTAAAAGAACCAGCAGCGAGAAACTCTGGAAATGAACCGACCAAGAACCTATTGCTCAACAAATATTCTGAAGAAAATGGAGATGGATCGGGGGGACACAGTAAGGAGACCGTCGAATGATGTCGTACACTAAGCGACAGCTTGAGTGGATTTCGAATGAGTAGCGCCAATTCGGGCTTGTGTTCAAAGCTGATATGGAAGGGATCATCTGTGAAGAGGAGATGAGAGACTATGCACCATCTGATGAGGGCTGCAGAGAACAAGACAAAGTTAGGACTTGCTGATGGAACCATATGTTCCACTCGGAGCCTGAGGGAGCAATAGTTGAAACAAAATAACAGACTAACTGACATATATACATCCTCGGTAATGCTATGAATCATACATTATCGCGCAAAGTAGAATGTGGTTGGTGCTGAATTATACTTTTCGGCTCACGTCGTTGTGCATTCTCGCTCAGATACACAGAGACCAGGGGCATAGTCAAGCGGTATTCATGATCACAGAGCATCGCTATAATTAATCTCATTGTTATTGCAAAATGTAAAAAAAGGTTGACATCATAACAGGGTTTAGGCTAAGAACATTTATTATAATAAAGGTTTTTTGTATTTCCAAATGAATGAAAAACAAAACGATCTTCTTTATACTGACGTTTCGCTATTTAATGCTAATAGCTTTATCAAAGTATAATTAAGTATGGTCGGAAACGTATTCCGGAAAAATGGACCTCAACAGTTGTGATTCCATAGAGAGGGGAGACGTCAGACGATATCAGAAGAGTACTCAATAAGCTCGACGCCAATTTTCTTCAAAACATCAGAAACACTGCGAAACAACCTTGTCCACATAAAAGACTAAATCAATCCCTAAAGATTCTCTATCTAATTGTGTCTATAAAATAAAATGCTTGGAATGTGATGCGATTACATCGAACAAACATCTCGAGAAATCAAAGTCAGGAGAAATGAGTACCGTAGAGCATCTCTCCAACTACTGGGAAATCCAGTTAGTGAACTAGAAAAGCTTGAAAAATCAACAGCTACAGGTCGTCTACACACTATATGGAATCAGGTCACAAAATTGATTTTGACGATATTGAAATCCTCATCAAGAAAAAGCATTTCAGAAATCACCAAGAACGTCTTATACCAATCAGAAGCACTTCATATCAAATGGAATCCAAATTGTCTTATGAATAGGAATGATGGACTAAAACAGAATTTAAACTGTTTACAACACTTCCCTCGCTCATGAAGTGACAAAATCACCACGAATGTGACAAGCAAGTTCCATATTTAAAAACACGCTCCTTTTATAATTTTACACACTGATCAAATCCAACAATCTACACCTGGTTTTGTTATCTTTATCAAGTGACCAATGTGGCAACGCGAAAATGCCCCCATGCTGAGGAACGATGATTAAGTTGTTGAGGTTTTGTAAATTCTGGTTTAATAATACTTTGATAGAGTTATCAGCATTAACTAGTGAAATGTCAGTAAAAACAAAAATATCGTTTTGCTTTTCATTCATTGGGAAATACAAAAAACTTTTATAATAATGAATGTCATATACCCGATGCCCAAACTGTTTTTTCAAACTGTTAAAAACGAATTTGGACTGGACATTATGTAAGAACAGTCAGATCAGTATAAATACCGATATTAGGAACAGCTGGTGACAGTTGGTGACATGGCTCAAAATCGTTCTCAGTGGCGCAGATGCATCCACTCCTTGTGATTTATGATCTCCAATGAAACTGTTTTGTTCTTCGTTATTACTCCTCCTTTGTCTCACACCTCTGCTCACTGTTTCTATTATGCTTTTCTTGTACTTTCTTCTCTTGCTTCGCGTGCCACATGGAGTGTGGCGACTTGAACTTCCGCACATTTGTGCAAAGTTCTATGTCGAAAACAGACAGACAGACAGACCGATATTAGGGTCATTTAAGACAGATCAGAGTTCGATTAGAGTTACACGACTGACCTCGAGGGTTCAAATTTCCTGCTTAGCGTAATTACTCTCTTCAAAGATCAGCTGATGCTCTCATTCGTACCCTTTTGCAATGTCAAGAGTTCAACTTTGATATAAAAAGTCAAAATCAAATTAAAATAGTAAATTGATATATTTTACTTTTTCAAGATTACCTGTTAAATGCATTCTGTAAAAAAAAGAGAACACACAAAACAGACAGAAGATCACAAGATTCATGCAAAAAGGGAACACTACACACTGAAACATATTTGACTAGAACCAGCGGAAAGTTATTCGTGGAAGAAGCAGATAAGAAGACCAATAAATAAATAGATTAAAAGATAAGGCACACATCTCATTGTTAATGATCACTTTTTATATTAAAAGATAATAAATAAGGCACATTATATACTCCACACACACACACACACACATGCACACAAACACACACACACACACGGATTGACAGTAATAAAGGTAAAGCCAGTATAACATCATCGTAGACACACAGAGCCATGAGATCGAAGATAGAAAAGGAGTTGTGTTCTTTTTTTCTTCTTTCACTTCAATTGTTTCATTGCTGCCAGTAGACTTTCAGGTTTTGGTGATGCAGCAATTGCTGAAACAGTCATACCAAGTTCTTTTAGCCTATTCGCGGTTGCACGTCCCATAGCAACAAGCTGTATTGGAGAAAGTGTGAAATCGAAAGAGAACAGAAATAGTATACAATAAAAAAAAAGAATAGAATACTACTGACGATAAAGAAAAAAACGGTCAAACGCATAACTGACATATTTTAACAATAACAGTATTATGTTGATGAGGTAATGAATAGTGTCCATTTACTGAGATCACATTGGATTAAGGCAGTACACTGAATAAAATATGAACTGAAATAAATAGTCTTAAACTGTTCTTCGTTTCAAAATAAAAATCAGATGACCAGCTGGATAGGATTAGACAACACAAACCAAACAAGCACCTATTGCCCAAAATAAATAATGATGATTTTGATTGGACACTAGTAACTAGTGTGATGTGTCTTGTCCTTCCTTTGGCGCAGACTGAATTCCTATCAGTCAGGTTTGTGCAATGTGGCCACCATTCTAGGTAGCTAGCCATTATGGTGTACATTGATTTAATAGTATTAGATAGTCGGAGGTAATCAGCCACAGGAAGCCTTCTTTGACCTAGGTTTCGTGCTAGTTGGCACTCACCAGTCAGCAAGGCATATCTGCAACCTTGAAGGAACTCATGTCCCTTCTGAGATTCGAACCTGCGTCGCCCAGTGAAGGCTGCAGTTAGAGACGTTACCACTGAGCTATTCGGGCTCGCGATTGACGCAGGTTTGAATCTCAGAAGTGACATGAGCTGTTCCTTCAAGGTTGCAGATACGCCTTGCTGACTGGTGAGTGCCAACTAGCACGAAACCTAGGTCAACCGAGGCTTCCTGTGACCGATTGCCTTCAACCTTCTAATATCATAATAATGATGAATTGGTCGGGTACACACCCCGAGAAAGCGCGCTAGGTAAATCCCTGAAAGGAAGCCAAATGCGAAGCAACAAATTGTGCGTCTGACGGTGACATAGAGGAGAGAAAGTATCAGGAGGAGATGAAAATTTATTTGCAATCATACAGCCAACTAAAAAGAAGTTTACAAAACGGATGAAATGGAATGAAATGCTGTGGAAGTTCTTCGCTCCATACTGAGATGACATAACCGTCTGAAAAGGATTGATTAGCGCGATAAGAAACTCCGGCAATGAACAAACCAAGAACCTACTGCCCAATGGAAAAGCTGAAGAAAATGGAAATGGATTGGACATATGGTGAGAAGACTGTTTTAAGTGACAATATGCGGCATGACCAGGAAGAAGAACGACAGGTTTGGCTTTGGCTCAAGGATAACACGGAAATGTGCTTAAGAAGCCCTATTTTCTATTCACGACCCAAGTGATACGTATACATTTTGTGAGGTTTTTTTTGTCGGTTAAGGACTACCAAATCCAGTAAACTTAATGATACATAAACAGACAAGTTGTGTTAAACTCTGGGTGGGCTTCTTCAAAATTCAACAGGCATTTTAACAGACAATTTCTAAGTGCATGAGTAGCGTAATTTAAATAAACGCCGAAAGATATCCAGTTCAAACAATAGTTGCGTGAAGATACTGATTAACTGACTGACTGATTTCAACATAGAAGTCTGCGTACAAGTGCACCCATTCCAGGTGCCGCACTCCATGAATCCCACACAAAGGAAGACAAAAAAGAGGAAATAAGAGATCTGAAAACACAAAAATATGAGAGAATGCGAAGGAAAAACATAAGTAACATGTGAGAACAATACGTTTCTTTTGGATATATCAGGTAAATAAGAGTGAAGACATCTACTACGTCACTGAGGACGATTTTGAGCCGTATGACCAAGTGTCTCGAGTCAATGATCCTTAGAATCCCTAGGACCCCGTCCAATCAACCAGTCTACACACCTGCCTATATGGATGGAAACAAACCAACAGTCAAAGATTTCATGGACTGATGAAGCCATGTTTTCGTTTGATCACCACTAGCTTTCTCCCAACTTGATTCTGTGTCAGATAACATTGCCCATCGACAAGGACGATGACAAGGCATGCGTAACACATTTTCTAGCCACCTAAATCGATGTAGCTTCACAGTCTCACGCATTGATTTTCTATCCTTACCTAATACTCGACCGAAAAGCCTAACCTCAATATTACTCACCACCTAACATGGGAAATAGGACAGAAACACCTATAATCAACGACTAGCTAGCTTTTTCATGTCTTCCACTTTCTACGTATCAATCACCACAGGGCAATCTTTGCAATGAAACTCTCTGAAAATTCTGTATTATGTATAAACTGATTTCTCTGAAATACAGCTATTACTGTTATTATCATTATTAAAAGTAATAAAGTCATAATCTACATATTATTTAATAGGTGGGAAGTTAGCAGTGAAATAATAGACAAGAGATTCCTCCATTTTCGGAACTCATCAGTAGAATGTTCCCTGTATAATTCTGAATAAGAAAAGTGATGTATCAAGCTATTCCCTAGATCAAATACTTGATTACGTCTAACTACTTTTTTCTGAGAGCTATATGAGCAAAAGTAACTGCATAACTAGGTTTAAAGACATTCATGTAGCAGTACAGTCCTCATTATAACAAGGATAATATAACACTGAGTGAAGCGACTACATTTTCCAATCGCCTCTGATTCTTGCAGAGTAATAGTCTTCATGTAAAGTGTTGTTCAACCTCATTTCGTATACTATTGCAGTGAATTCATTTTTAACTGATATAAGTCGGGTATATGGGCAGTTATTTGGCGGGTAGAGTGGGCGATAATTCCCCATTTTTTTTTGTAAATCAAAAAAAGATGAAAGATTATATATCAATCATTGGATTATGATCCAGTCATTATTTAACATCATGGTAGGCGTAGTGGAGCTGTGACTCGTTGGTCAAGGAGCTCGACCACTTATCAACGGGTCATGAGGTTCGCACCCCGTCAGCTAACGTACAGAGGTTAGGGTGACAGCTAGGTAGTATCACTAGACTTCACACAAGTTTGGTTCATAGCCATCTACACAGGATTGCAATTGATTGCTGAAACTTAATGATAAAGCTATTCAAGATGAAATATTAATACATGAAATGTTAGTAAGATACGTTTTTATACTAATATAGTCTCCTTCTGGGTGAAAACTCTGATAAAATGAAGAGTCTTCTCAACACCTTGAGGAGCAGCAATCTTGAAATGTTCGGTACGCTATTTGCTCCTGCCAAATGTGAGATAATGCCACAGGAATGGAATACATCGACTTCTAACTTAAAGATAGGCAGGAGTGATTTGAGGTTAGGCGTCGAGTGCTAGGTAACGAGGGGGAATCAATCGACGAGGCTGTGAAATTACATCGACTGAGATGGTTAGGACATTTGTTACGCATGCATGCCTAGTCATCGCCTTCCTCGACTACCGGCAATGTTAGCTGACACAGGGGTCAGGCTGGAAAAGCGGTAGCGGCGGTCAAACCAAAACATGGCACCAGTCGATGAAATCTACAAGTTAGTCTAAGCCACGTAGGAAGGTGTAGACATCTTGGTTGGGGTCTTCGGGACGGTAAAAACCAATGTCTGGAAACAATTGGTGATATGGCTCAAAATCGTTCTCAATGGCTATCGCAGATGCATCCACTCCTTGTGACTTATGATTTCCAATGGAACTATATTGTTCTTCGATATTACTATTCCTTTTGTCTCATATCGCTGTTTACTGTTTCTATTATGTATTTCTTCTACTTTCTTGTGTTGCTTTGTGTGCTACATGGAGTGTGGCGACTTGAACTGCCACACATCGGTGCAAAGTTCTATGTCAAAAACAGACAGATAGGAGTGAACTGATAGAGCGTGTTGACTACCATTTCACCTATTTGGGAAGTTGCATCAGCCCCAGAGTGTTGATCGTTGACAAAATATTACCACGGATATAAAAGGTTTATGTTGAATGATGCCAACTGTAGCGCAGACATGATATCCACCAGGATATCGATCAACGGTCGTGTGTACTGCACAGCCGTTTGCCTTATCTTCATTTATAGCTGTGAGACATGACCACTGAGATTGGAAGACATGAAATGCCTAGCTAGCTGTCTTCGATCATTGATGTTTCCGTTCTGTCTCCCATTTTAGGTGGTGATATAATACGGGGAGTATTATTGAGGTTAGGCTTTGATCGACTGCTACGTAAGCAGAGAAAATCAATCGATTCCATCATAGGTAATGGAATTACACTCTACCACAGTGCACAGGATTTATTCTTATATCAAAATTAATCGATGAGGTTGTGAAGCTATATCGATTAAAGTGGCTAGAACATCTGTTACAAATGCCTAGACATCGCCATCCTCGAAAATGGGCAATGTCAGGTGTAGATAGGATAGATCAGGTTGGAAAAGAGATACTGATGGCCAAACCAAAGCATGAAGTTAGTCAATATTTAGGGTCCTCATGATGGCAAAAAACCAATGAAGATTGGAGACAATTGGTTATAAGGCTCAAAATCGTTCTCGAAAGCTGGTGCAGATACCTTCCCTCTTTTTCACTTGTCATATCCAATGAAACTCTGTTGTTCTATATTAATATTCTTTTCCCTCATTCACACTTCTGTTTGTTATCTGTCTTTTCTGTCTTCTCTTGCTTTGTTTGCTACATGGAGGGTGAGTGATAACTTGAACTGTCGCATATTTGTGCAAAGTTCTATTTTGACACCAGTCATTCAGTCAGACAAATGAAATAAAGTACACAATCGCTTACCTTGACATTTGGCCTGTGCGGTTTTATTTCAGTTAACAGTATATTTTCAGTTAGTGAAACACCAGATGGACTGAAGAATACTAAACAATCAGGTATTGGATTTCCTTCCTTTAGATGAAAGATAAAAGGTAAAACAAAAGAAATATATTTACACTATATCTTTGTTGTTAGTAGATACATAGATATTTCTGTAAAGGAAAAAAAACAAGTAGGCCAGAAAAACACCAAAACTCTCAGCACCATTTTAAACGTCATTTTCAAGATTAGCAGAGAAATTCAAAGAAAGTGGTGATTGGCATTGACACGAAACCTGTTTATAGCTGGCAATCTTCAGCGGCAAGTTTTTAGAAATCATTAATATCAAGCCATACTTTGAGTGACAGATGCAAGTTGCTTCAATCAAAACCCAATTTTGAGTGTGGACACCAGAAAAGACCCAATGATTAGTGCTAATACTCTAGGTAATTCATACTAATCAAGACTGAATCAGTTCAAATTACCCCTTATCATACCGAAATTATATATATTAGGACATTAGTGGCCACTGATATATACACCCTTTAGATATCTAGAAAAAAAAAGGAAATTCACAAGACCAGTGCTCATAGCTTTACAATCCCAGGATCACTGATGAGAGACAAGTGGGTGAAAGTAATCAACAGCGATGGCTTTACATATGGTTCTTCTATTTTCTGTTGGAACAGCGCATTCTTTACTAAATAGTCAAAAATAAATGTCCATGAGTAGTTTTCGAGTTGTAGAACAAATCAGTAGACTACACATCTCGACAGCTAATGTTAACTGACATAGGATGGATCAGGTTGGAAAAGAGCTAGTGGTGATCAAAGTAAAACATGACATCAGTCAATAAAATTCACAACAATTAGTTTAAACCAGCCACGTAGGAAGATGTGGACTTCCTGGTTGGGGTCCGCGGGACGGTAAAAACCAATGTCTGGAAACAATTGGTGACATGGCTCAAAATCGTTCTCAGTGGCCGGCTCAGATGCATCCACTCCTTGTGACTTATGATTTCCAATGAAACTATATTGTTCTTCGATATTACTATTCTTTTTGCCTCATATCTCTGTTGACTGCCTCTATTTTCCGTTTCTTTTTACTTTCTTTTCTGGCTTTGTGTGCTGAGTGAAGTGTGGCGACTTGAACTGCTGCACATCAGTGCAGTTCTATGTTGAAACCAGACAATAATAACTATTGAATACAGATTAACTGTCAAACACAAAGCCATGAATGTCTACTACACAACAGCTGGTGTATTCAAAGGAGAAAAATGAATATAACCTAGAATTTAAACTAACGTCTTCTCTTTTTATCAATTTAACTCTGGTAATGTCATTTTTTCATTTAGTTTTACCAAATGAACAACACATAAGGATAAGACATACACCAGGATATAATAATCGATAACGATAAAAAAAATGAAGTGAATACGACAAATGGAGCATCAGATACCACAAAGAACTAATAATAGTCAAACCGAAATGTGGCATAAGTCTATGGAATCTTTAACAGTTGTTTCGAGTCAGCCAAATAGGGTGGTGTAGGCTTCTGTCTGTTTGGGGTCTCCAGGATACTAAAAACCAGTAGCTGGAGACAATTAGTGATATGGTTCAAAATCGTCTCTCTTAATGGCTAGCGCAGTTGCACTTACTCTCTTTGATCTGCCATATCTAGGAAAACTCTGTTGTTTTTCTATGTTACTATTCTTCCTCATTCTTTCTTTATTTCTTTATTTTTTTGGTTACAGCTTGATTCCACACCGTATTTTTGGTACAAGTATGGAATTTTCAGCGTGGATATCGGTAGCCCAAATTTTGAAGGCTGACCATAGATATCAGGTGTGCGTCGGCGAGGGCTCGAGCTCCAAACCATGTGCATGGTCGGCGAGAGTCCTAACCACTGTGCCACTGACGTCTCTTTTTTCTTCCTTTGTATGCCACCTGTAGCGTCGCTAGTAGAAGTGGTACACTTCTGTGCAAAGTTCTATGTTGCACTTAGTCTGTCAAACAAAGACAATTAACGCAAACTTTCAAAGAATGAAAAGTAAAAAAACAACTTTGCAGACAACTCAAGAAAATGACTTACACACAGATTTAATCTCAACTTTTCATGGAGTTTAGTATTTTCTACAGAAGAGTATGCAATAACAGTATTCACCTTTTTCCCTAAATGTAAAAGTACCATACAAAATACTTAGCAAGTTACCTTCAGCTTCTAAAGCTTTTGGTATTGTATCACGGTGAACTTGACCAGATGGAAAGAAGATAGGCTTATCCAATTCTGTAAAATAATAAGGAAATGATGTAATATTGGTTGGATACAGACAGTACTTGAAGCAAAGTGCTTTACAATAAAGTCTGAGAGTTCTTCGGCATCTCCTGATGATGCTCCTTTTGGTGAAAATCCAGCCTTCTTAGCTTTAACATGACAGGAAAAATATTGCATGGAATTATGAATTCATCAAATACCTTGTAATTCGGTACTTGGACCAACGACAAAGCAAAGATCATTTTCATTTCCTGTGGAATTGTTTCGTTAATTCATGATGCTAAACAAAGCTAACCTGTCAATCCTGCCTTAACACAGGCAATTACAGCCCGTGGACTGCTAAAAATAATACAACTATGATTGTTTCGCCAATTTTTATATTCTTCCAAGTTTGCTGTATTATACATAAAATCAAGAGTCTCCAACAGATCGACAGTAAAGCCTGCTTTTGTTAGGACCTAATTTTGTACAAATTATGATTTCTACTAACAGACAAAATCAGTTTACCTGTACATAAGGATCATCATTACAACTGGTTGCATTTTCACCGGCTGATTTGAGAAGTAGGACATACATGAATACACGTCTGGTTGGATCTGTCAAAGAAAGTAACAAACATAATTAAAATTCTCGACAAAAACAACAACAAGGGTTACAATCACAAAAAAGGATTAAGAACATCCTACAGTTACCTGTTATTACGTTTGTAATATTAAGAAGGCAAGGGAATCCACATGCAACGCTTGGCTCGACGCTCGTGAGCACTTTCAAGAGAATCAAACAGAAATATTTCCCTGGTCTATCTTATGATAGGCCTAAGACTAATTTGTGATACTCACATGATGCATAATTAATGACGATTGATATGTTTTAGTGTTGCACGCTATTTAAGACTGAAAAGCCTCTTCTAACATTTCATTTTTCCATATCACTCAGTGTCATCCGAATAATTTCGACCTCCTACGGAAATTGTGGTGAAATCTCACCTCAAATTGTGTAAATTCTAAATTAGTTTGCAAAACGTTAGTCTGATTTTGGAAGCCTGTTCTCTCTACACTACATGTGTGCATGAGTTTATTTGGATTTCTTCACACAAAACCTTTATTTGTGTTTTTTTTCCCTTACTTCTACTTAAAAGCAAGAGAACTTTATTCATAATCATATTTTTTGAATGATTCTCAAAACAGGAGAATCAAATGCGTCGGTGGCACAGTGGTTAGGACTCTCGCCGACCATGCACATGGTCCGGGGTTCGAGCCCTCGCCGGCGCACACCTGATATCTATGGTCGGCCTTCAAAATTTGGGCTACCGATATCCATGCTGAAAATTCCATACTTGTACCAAAAATGCAGTGTGGAATCAAGCTGTAAATAAAAAAATGCCTGTGAATAAACGTTTATTCATGTACCAGTATTTACCTGCATATCGTAATGTGAATTTGGGTTAATTACTACACCAAAGTTAGATATATGTGTGATAAACAAACGCAGATGGTCTTTTAAAATGGTAATAGCAAGGCTTCCAGGTACCAAAACGAAATATTGCATATTACTTCTAAGCTTATGAGAGACTTATTGACAGTGTCCATACATTCAGCAAGGGTAAACAATAGTTACCGAAGTCAAATGACTTTGATTTGACTAATCAGATAGCTCATAATTATGCATTATTGATAGTCATAATCATTGTTGAAAATGTCAACCAGATTTAGCTTTTGACTTCTTTGTGGAAAATGTTGATAGGGAGGAATAAAACAAGCATATGTGGAGGGATAATGATTCTGCACAAGTATTAACAGGCTAAAGTCCATCAGTGTATTGATGGTTATACATTCAGATATGAAAACCTTATATAAGGAAGTCAACAAATTCAGTTTAAAAAACAAACTTTATTCAAGTCTATATATACGTGACAATCAGAATAACTCTTATACTCTGTTCACATAAATATTTCTCATTAATTACTACAATTTGTGTGAAGTTTCAGTGTAGTTCAACCTTGAAATTGTATTCACACGCCTATAACCATTTTAATATTAAGAAGACTTACCAAGGATTGTAAGCAGAAACTAATGACCTAAAGACTGAAACGAGCGCTTTCTTTTCCTGTAGTTTCAATGTTTCACTGGTGCAACACTTCACAGTTTCAGAAAGGGAATAAGACTCATAATCCAATATCCAATATCGTTTTTACGAGCTAGTATAAACCAATCTGATTTCATTTTTGTTCGCTTCTTGATTGTGAGGTATAGGTTCCTGATCTTCGGTAAACTTCTGCGTAGCTCGTCGCGCCACTCGACTGTCGTAGCTTTGGTTGACTCCAAAAGGAGTAGTGCTGGGATTAATTATATGTGGTTGGTCGTATGAGGTGTGTTGAGACTGTTGCTAGTGGAAATGGTGTTGATTCTTTGACCAGTTGATCCTCCAGTATCGTCTTCAAAAGAAAAGAGATAATGATAATATAAGTAATAGATGTAATTAGTGGAGTTGTTCAGACTAACAGACAGAAAAAGGAATAAGAAAAGTTAATAACAGTCAGCTAAATGTGTTTGAAAAATAATATGAATGATATATATCGGTAATAATGATAATAATAAGTGTAGTTAAATTGTCAGGAAGGTAAGGAAGGAGAGAATGTAGAGAAGTAAAGCGACGAACTTAGTTGTCTACCTCTGAATGGTGTATGGAATTTTGAGGGGATGGGCTATTTGGACGCAGCCCTTGGGTCGCTGCATGATTGCCCAACGTACGCTTACAGGAGTCTACAGACGGCACCATAGCTACATCTGCCGTTAGGGAATTCCAGGGACGGCAAACCCGCAGTGAGAAGAAGTGGGAGCGCACCAGAATCCTTGCCCTCTGGTGAGCTATCCTTCTGGGATCTCCACGAGGAAGCCTATACCCACTCAGTGGCAGAACACCTATGTTTAGGTGATTCTGGTTATCTGTCATTTTTAAGCAGTTAATAAACCCCGACGGTCACCAAGTGTAAATAGGTCTACTTCTTAAGCCTTTCATTATACGGTTTCTTTCGGAGAACAACCACTCATTTTGTTGCCCGTCGTTGGATTCTTTCCAACAGGTTAGCGTCTCTTCTAAGCTTTGGGGGTGCAATAATATTATGCACCTCAAGGTGTGGTCTGGTGTATATTTTGTAAATCTTAGAAAGAGCTCAGGAGTGATTGCACCTAACTGTCTATGTGTAAAGTTTATGACTGCATATGCCGTCGCAGCATCCCCCGTGTAATTTACGCTTGTGTCCATTTTTCCGTTAGAACTAGAACCTAAGTCGCGTTTTGACGTTGTGCAGGACAAGCTTTCATTGCACAGGGTGTAACTTGCATTCTGCAGTCTACAGGTGCGCAACTTCACTACTTTGCACTTTTTCAAGTTGAAAGTCATGCCACTGGCCACCGCCCAGTCTTCCAGAAGGTTTAGATCTTCCTGCAGCCTATCTGAGTCCTCCAGACACTATATCGCCCCCTATATCTTTACGTCGTCAGCGTATAGGAGAGTCGGACAGCTTAAACGGCATGGTAGATCATTGATAAAAATCAAAAACATCAATGGTTCTAGGATGGACCCCTGCGACACTCCTGATGACGAGCTGTACCAAGATGATCGGACTCGACTGGCCTTAGTGCAAAATTGCCTTCCACCTAGGCAGTCCTTTAATCATGACAGAAGTGGATCACCTATACCTGCCTGGCTTATTTTGTGAAGGAGGTCATGGTGAACGGAGTCAAATGCCTTCTCAAAGTTTAGGAAGACCACATGAGCTGGTACATTCATATCCCAGCATGATTTCCGATCGTCCCAAGCTGATAGTAGGTTTGTTAGACAGGATCTGCCTTTCCTGAAACCGTGTTGGACTTCATGGAGTATATTAGACCTATTGAGATAATCCCTGATGCGATGGTCAATAATACTTTCCAGTACTTTTGATACCACTGGGAGTAGAGCTAATGGTCTATAACTAGTAGCGTTTTGCCTGTCCCCACCCCTGAAGATCGGGAAAATGATGGCTCTTTTACTCTCTTTTGGCAGTTTCCCCGAACCCATTAAGCGTTGGAACAGGTCACATAAGGGCCTACAGAGAGCATCGGAGCACCGTTTCAGAACGGATGGCCGTATCTCCTCACAACCTGGGGACTTCCCAGGTGTGAGTCGCTGTCGCTTTTTTAGTATTATTGCGGCGTTTATTTAGGGACTGGTCACTAGGTCTTCCTCCTGTGAAATAGTAGTGTCACCATTTTGGCACGTAACAGTAATATCCACATTGCTGTTTAGCTGTTTGGCGAAGGCTGAACTGAATGTTTCAGCTCTCTCCAGACTAGTGAGATGTTGATCGTTTAGGCCTACTAAGGTGCATGCCCGCTGGTTGGTTGGTTTTCTTTCCGACATGAATCAATAAAAGTTTTGAGGTTTGCTAGGGTTTTTTGGCAGGGCTAGCCTGGAATGACCTCCTGTCACTCCTGACCCTCGCGTTGCACCGGTTCCGGAGTTCCAGGTGTGCGTCGTGCTTGATCTGATTGTTAGATACGTGCCACGTGGACCAAATCTTCCGCTTCGCTTGCAGAATACGTTGCGTGTCTGTCTTCAACCATGATGATTTTCTTTTGGGCTGCGTTGTGACTAAAATGACAGTATCCGAGATTGCGGTATGAATAATCTTTTTTACCACTTCCCAGTGTTCATCCACAGATAGCTCATCCCATTCTAACATTCTGTGATCGAGTTTTTAATCCGCCTAATTTATTTCCTCACCTGGTTGGAGGCCGAGACAGACTCCACTGTTTCTTGAAAGACTTGTTCTACGACCTAGCGGTGCAAATAGGTAGCACTAAAATATACATGCATCTGCCTCTGACGTAATCCACCAAGGATTCACTTATTATGAGGAACCAATTCTTCACTATTAGGCCCAACATGCGGAAACCAATGAACATATTGATCATTTTGAGTTTCACTGCCTACCTTTTTGACTTCAACTTCTCCACTCATGATATTTTATATGAGACGCATGAAATTCCTGTTGCTGACCCAAGTAGGGATCCTAGTCGTATTCAGATGCGGACGGACCCTCGAAACTACCTGAATTCGGACTTTCAAAAAGCCTAGTCAGAATGAAGACCCCTCGCCGAATTTCTTGATGATGTCGTAGATTAAAATGATATTTAGGAACTAGCAAAAGGTTTAAAGAATATTCATGATGGTGGGCTACTATGATCATTTTGTTCTCAAAAGTGAGCAAATCGTACTTTCCTTGGCAAATTCCGAAGTGCTTCTTCGGCAGATGTTAGGTGATAATGAAGCTGTAAGTACATTGTATTATGTTAGATGACATTGGTCAACATTATCTGATGCATTTAGTAAAGCTTACTGATAGTAGTTTGATTATTTTTTTTGTGTTTTGAGGTTTCAGTGGCATTCCAGGAAGCAACAAACTTCTCGAAGACCTCAGAACGCCTCTTAAACTATATGACGGTTACTAAAACCGGTGAATGATATGTATCCAAATATATGTATATATATATATTCATGTGTGTGTGTATGTTGGAATAATATTGGCAGACCACCTATTACCAATACTTCCCAGTCTCTTGTCAACGCATGTGGTGGACAGCTCAAACTTATTGGTGAACTCAAATGTTCCGTTTCCTTCCGCAATACCAAATTCACAGGAATTCGCTACGTCACCAATAGTGATTTAAATCTTTTGGGACTTGATTGGTTCGATCGTTTGCATCTGGCTGATGTCCCACTAAATTCGCTATGCAATGCAGTCAAGAAGCATAAAATGTCAGACAATTCCGGACGAAGCCGAAGCCACAAACCCAACACGCAGACAAAACGACAGACGTCAACAACAAGCTCAAAGGTTCCAGATAAACCCCCAGGTAAACATCCCACTAATCATCACTCTTCTCAAAAGGGAAGGTGATATGTATCCACATATATACATATATATATATATTTATGTGTGTGTGTATGTTGGTCTCTCTTTCT